ACGCTATAGCAGTATAGCACGTACCTATATATAGTGTGCGACATATATATGTACACATACCAAAACATGATATAATATGATAATAATATATATTATGATATATATTTATACTCACTCGACRAAAATCCTGAGCGACCTGTTGATTCGCGACGAAAGAGCATCGCGCTGAAATATCGTCACCGTGATCGCACCATATACTATACAGAGTGTCCCGCGAAGATTTACCCATTGCGATATCCCACGAAATAATGGAGATATCAAAATTCTGGTTTTATATTAAGATTCACATTTAATAGGAATTACAATTATTTCATTTTGAAATTTATTTCAATGTTTTTGCAAAAAATTTAAAAAATATATTTTTTTATTTAATTACTTCCAAAAAAAATTAAAGATAGCTATTTTGTACTGTTTATTTTTCTGAATATATTGACGTTTCAACATTTTATTTCCATTAATTTCCTGATTTTTGATATTTTTTCTAGTATTGATGAAATAAAATATGATTATAAATGTATAACTATTAGGAACACGGAAAGTAATCGGCCAATATGGGAATGCGTGCTGCGCGGCGGGTCACATGTTTGATGACATTATGGTGTTAAATAATTCGGAATTTTTCTCGAAACTAAAAAAAAATATTAAAAATCAGGAAATTAATGAAAATAAAATTCTGAAACGTTAATATTTTCAGAAACATAAACTCTACAAAGTGGCTATCTTTAATTTTTTTGGAAATAATTATGTTTTTTTTAACTTTTTTCACCAAAACATTAGAATAAATTAAAATATGAAACAATTGTAGTTCTTATCCCCGTGAGTTTTATTACCAAACCAGAATTTCGATATCACCATTATTTCGAGAGATATCGCAATGGGTAAATCCTCGCGGGACACTCTGTATAATATACAATATAATATAGTCCCCGACTCTTCTCTTCGCCATGTCGTGACGGTATAGCACAACTCACACTCACACACTCGTAGGTAGTACCTGTTAAAAGTTCACAACCACATCATATCACTATATTATTATACGCCAGAACCATAATATGAGCGTACAAGTCGCGATGTCGGTCGGCCTGGTGTTGCAGTAGCGATCCATCGTTCGAGTCATCACCGTCGTAGATTTCACTTTTTTTTTCCGTCCGAACATATTTTATTTATTTAAAAATAATAAAAATAATATTCATACAATATAATTAATAATTATAATAACAACTTATCGCGAACGCGTGAGATCTCAGTTTTTCTGAACGCTCGAATGATATAATATACGGACAATAATAATAATATTATTCCAACCGTTTTTTTCGGCATACACTTCGCGGACGACAATGATGATTATTAAGGCGACAGTGGTCGTCGACGTATCGTTTTTATAGAAATATGTGTTCGCGAGGCGACCGGACGGACTGCTCAACGATATTTTTTGCCGTCCATTTCTTCGTCGCGGTACGTCGTACGAGTGATATATTATAATAAAATTATTTTTGTACACACGACCTGCAGCACGCTGAGAGGACCCCGCGGTAAGTGTACCATACCCAGCGACGACCGCAAATTTTTTATCATTTTAATTAAGCGCGATCGACGGGAAGTCTCGCGTTAAAAAATATGCACACGAAAACTGACGACCGTCTATAACAATAATGCGACGTCATAACAGCAATAATACAATATTGTAACACAATGTTGTACACAATAATATAATAATATTATGCGTCTATAGTGCGTATGAATTGTTGACGGACGAAACAAAATAGGTATAGCTATAATGTATTTGTGTAGTATATGATGCCCGTAAATTAAAAATCGCTTATTCGGTAAACTATACCTACTGAACATTCAGAATGAACGCTACCCACAAAAATGTATAAATTGACAGTTGAAAAACCATGATCAAAACGACATAATATCTCACCCCGAATTAGTCGATTTTTAAGATTAAAAATATCAACCATAAATCCGCGGTCTTGTAGAAAAATTAATTGCATTCGAAAACAAAAAAAGTGAGTAACAGCAGACGAAAGTGCCAAAAAATTACGGATTCACTGAAAAATATTTAAAAAATACACCTTTTATTATTATTAAGCGCTACACGGTGTGCAGTAAAAAACCCAAA